GGCCTAGCCACTTGACAAACTGGCTTCCTACAAGAAAAACGCTCTTATTCCAAGTAAACAGACACTAAAAGACTCCAAAGAATTTAACGGTTCGTCTAAGGTCTCACGGTGGTCAAATGGCAGCATTAGGCTCAAAACCTGGGCCTCATTTGAGGCCAAAGCCTTTGTTTCTTTCACGAAATCCTTATCTACGAGATCAGAGAAGAGTCAGTGTGGTGATGCACGCCAGCGCTGGGACGTAGAGGCAGGAGGTTTAAAAGTTTGAGCCCAGCCTGGGCAACTTAATAACTTAAGCTAGTTTCAAAATAAAAAATAAGCACCAGCCAAATAGAGCAATGGATTAAAGCACCTACAGGGGGACAACCCGCTCGGGCCCCCTTCTGTCTCTCTCTCAGACGGGAGCTTTCTTTCCCTCAATAAATATATTCTGCGCAAAATAAATAAATAAATAAATAAATAAATAAATAAGCACCTGCAAGCAGGTGCAGGGGCTGGGGGTTCGATGCCCTGGGCCTGCTGTGCTGGTCCCGCCCCTGGGGCGCACTGAGAGGCAATTGAGACTGGGTGCGGTGGTGCATGCCTGTAATCCCAGCTCTTGCGAGGCTGTAAACAGGCAGATCACTATGAGTCTGATCTAGTAGTGAGACCCTGAACACCTTGTAAACCCTTCCCTCAAAAATAAATAAATAAAATAAAACATATTTTTAAAGGGCTGAGGCTACGGCTCAGCGTGAAGGTATCGGGTTCAATCTCCAGCACCACCAAAGACAAAAACAAACAAATGAAACAAGATTTCCCAGACCCTTCCAGCCCTCAAAGAGAAAGGCCTAGAATCGAGTCCTTTGGTTAAAGGCAACACTTCTGCTGTGCCACCCTCTGTCTCCCTCCTCTTGCACCTTGACAGAAAGTCACCAGCCAGCCATGGCCCTCCCCCATGCCAACTGCTCACCGTCAAGATGTTGTACTCCCCAGCTGTGAAGGTGCTGCTGGCCGACACCACACCTGTGACTGGATCGATACTGAAGCCCTCCTCATCACTCTCCTCAATACTGTACGTGACACTGCCATTGAGACCGTCGTCTGGGTCTGATGCCACCAGCCTGTACACAGCCCCAGGGGACACTGGGCTCAGCCTCTCTGGAAGGCGGACATTGAAGAGCTTGTGGGAGAATACAGGCGCGTTGTCATTGACATCCAAGATGCACACCACCACCCTGGAGGTGGACCTTAGGGATGGCTCCCCGTTGTCCAACACTGTCACCTGGGGATAGAATTGGACAGGAGCACCTGAGTGGCCAAATGCAGAGGACTGTCTAGGTCCATCATCCGCCACCCTGGCCACTACTCAGGACAGGAGGGAACGCTGATATTTGCTCTTTGGTTTCTCTGCATTCATTTTATCATCACGACCTCATCCACTTGGGTCTCAGCTCTCTAGGAATTTCACCTCAGGAAAGCCCACAAGAACAGAGAAAAGAACCAGAAAAAAACTGGAAGACTTCTAGGCCAGAGTTTCCAAGCCAAGAGCTACTTCTCTTTGCCAGGGAAGGGCCAGGCCACTTCTCAGAGACTATTTGCTTTTTATTTGCTTGTAATTCTCAGAAGCTTTGTTCTCTGGTTCCCTGAAGCTACTCAACTTGAGAAGGTGTTTCCACAGAGGTGGGTGGAACTTAGGAGCCAGACACTGAGTCCAAGGCTTGAGATAAAACTCCCCGAGGCAGTTTCAGAATCCGGAGCTCTGTGTAGGTAGCCATTACCCCTCGGTGAGTAGCCCCACAGGCATGGCAGGCCGTTGGGTGCTCCACTCCCGGTTCAGGATCATAACATTTTTGTAGTGCTTAAGGTAAATGTCTGTCGCTGAACTTTGAACAGTGCTTCAGTCTGGAGGCCTAGAAGGCTGTTTGTTTGTTGCTCACTGACAATACCCACTCCTTACACAGGGAAAGAGAACGTGCCAAGGAATATGCCTCCCTCCCTGTTCTGTCTCTAGAGGAGAAATGGCTAGGATTCCACCCGGCAATTTTCGCTTCTGCTGTAATGCCCTCCACATCACTGACTGAAGCATCTCATTGGAATAGGCACCAGGGACACCTATGTGACCTTAAAGATACACTAGAAAGAGCACAGACCTAGAAGACAGAGGTTTTTATCCTGGTTCTGCTACTGACGTACTGCCTAACCTTAAATAATTCTCAGGGGAGGGACTAGAAATCAGAACTGACCAAGACACAGCACATGTATTCTACCCTACATTCCTGCACCCATGTCAGGCATTACTAATCAATGAGCAGAACCTGGCCAGCCTGGATACCATTTCACATTCTTTCCTTTCTCAGGGTTGAAGAGGCAGCAAAGACCTGATAGTCTTCAGCACCAACCACAGTAAGGCTGAGCTCAAGTCTGCTCTCCTCTCTGAGCCCACTTCTGTGCTCAGCCACAGGGGTGGAGCTGTGTGTGGGCCCAAGGCTGCCTCCACTCCATAAACGACCTGCGGCCTAGCCTCAGGAAGCTTCCGAGTGAATCCAGTGAGCAAGCCTCTTCAGCCTCCTCACCTCCAGGATATGTTCATCCTTGCTTTCTCGGTCCAGCTGCCGGGCCGTGGAAAGGAGACCTGGGGGAGAAATGGAAGGAGACATGAACCAAGGTCTCCCGAGGCTGCTACATTGGGATGTTCAGAATGACACTCAAACCACAGATGAGAATTCTTCTGGTCTTCAGGGAACAAGTATGTTAAGGGGAAGTGGGATACTGGGGAGAGGGAAGGGAAAGTGAGAAGGTCGGAGAGAACACAGAGGTAAGGTGTTACCTGAAAATCCCACTTACATCCAGCTTTCACCACTAGGCAAGAGCGATAGGTCAACAATGCAACAGCCAAAGCCTACCCAATGAGATGCTGGCCTAGTCAGATGCTTTCCCAGTCAGAATATGACCCAATCAGATGTTCTCCCAATCAGATGCCTGCCCAATCAGATGTTCTCCCAATCAGATGTCTGCCCAATCAGATGTTCTCCCAATCAGATGCCTGCCCAATCAGATGCCACTCAAACAGAATGGTGCTGGCTGGAAGCAACAATTAGGGGATGCACAAGAACGACTGTCAGCAATGCCAGGGTGAGACTTTTGAGTCCTTGTCACAGAAATTCAACGAGTATGTCCGCACTTAGCTGTCATCTGCTCTCCCTTTTTTTTTTTTTTTTTTTTAATAAAAAGACTCCACTTCTCCTGAAGGTAAACTACATCCCTCCCAATCTCAGGCCTCTGTGATCTAGCATGAGGCTGACTCACTCCATGCCTGGAGTAAAGTGCATAGCTTGAGACTGGTGCAGTGCGGACAGATGGCCCGTCTGAGGCGTGAGAGCCAACTCTGGGACCTCCGGGGAAAGCTATAGGAAGCAATCTCTGCTGCACGCCAGGTACGCTGAGAAGGAATTGTGAAACGTGAGCGCAAGACTGCCAGAAGACCCCGCTCGGAGCAAAGGAGGCAGGGGCAGGGTCTTCATCACTTCATGCAACCCAGGCTGGGGCTACACCTGCAGCCATGCATGTCTGGACCTCTTGGTAAGGTAAAGAAGAGCAGCGTCTTGTGTCACCTGGGCTGGTGTGGCCTGGGTTTCTATCTGTTCCATCTGCAGATGACTGAGTCAATTTGGTGACTTCAGCTAATGGGTGGGGGGGGGGCAAGGTGGAGATGGGGAATGATTCCAGTCTTTGGAATTGCAAGGGCTCCACTCCAGCAAGGCGCCATCACCTGACTCAGCCCCCTTCCTTCCCTTTTTACAGCACTGCGGGCCCTCAGATGCAGCCTTGGGTTCTTGTTAGGGCATCTGCTCATGCCCCTGGTGCCACGCCCCGACTTGATTCTGAGTCCCTGAACCTCAAACTGCCTCTGTAAAAGTTGGATGGGGTGAACCCAAGGTCCTTGGCTTTAAGTTCTGAACTTTTCATTCCACTTTGAGTAATTAGTCTAAGGAATTAAAGGCAGAAATCTGGGGTGATGGAGCACACCCGTGTTCATCAAAGTTGCGCTTCTAAAAGTAAACAATCAAGTATGGGCTGATAGGTTCCGGCCCAAGTACAGACTGCTAAATTATCCTAGCCCTGATCCAACATCGCTGAGTCCCTAAAACAACAGTTTAGCTCCCAAGGACCACTTCCTCCTCCTTCCCCACTCCAGCCCTGGATACAATTTCCTTTGACCTTTCCCACCCACACACGGGAGCCTCCAATCAGCTCCTTGTGTGTGGCTGAACCTGCCCCTCAAGCTCCGCCCCTAGCAAAGTCTATACAACCTCCCCCCTCCCCCCACTCCCATCCCCCTACTCCCTGGCTCAGGTCAGAGCATCTGCCCATCTTCCTGCCCTCCGACCTCTCTGTGTCTTCAGAGTTAATAAAGGCTTCCCCGCCCCCCATTTCTGCTTCTCTGCTGCACCACTGCCCACCATCACTGCTGCTGCTAAAACCTATTATGGGTTCATATAAAGGAAGAGGTACATGAATTACATAAACAAAGAAAGAACATGTGAATATTTCAGGTTCACTTTTTTGTAGCTGTGAATGTGCTGTGCACAATATACTGAGGCAAAAGGGTAGCTCGTCTAGAGTTATAACTGAGACCACGATCTGAGACCGTGGCTCTGGAGAAATCACTGTGGTAGTGTTTCCCTCTGCTCTTGTCATTATTGTTCCCCTAGGACTTCGTACTGGCTGTCTCCACGGCCAGCAAGACCTGGGCTCCTCTCAGATCACCTGGAACCGGGCCAGCTTGATGATTTGTGAGCCTACTTGGAATTTGCTGAGCTGTGGAGGCTCTACACTATGACAAGAAGGGAGAGAAGGTGGCAGTTCTCTGCAGGAGTCAGGGAGCTCAAAGTTGAGGTTATGAGGGGCTCAGACTTGTTCTAAGCCCTCAGCCTGGGAGGTCACACCTGGTAAAGAAGGTCTCCTTCAAAGGATAGCAGAGCTATCGGTAGTTGTCAGCGGACCTTCCTGAAAGCTCTCGTTAAGGTTACTGGTCTTGAGGTGATGACATGACAGCGACAGTGCAAGTAAGTGTGCAAATGGAAGCTCCGCAGAGGGACTGGTGGCTCCAGGTGGGTGCCAGTGTGGGAAAGGGGCTCAGTGTGGGGGAGGAGCCTCCCACGAAGGAAGAGCATGCCCTGATGAGGAATGTGTTATTGCCTTGCGCAGTGTCAACTAGCTTTGTCCTCATAGCTCCAGGGCAGGAGTGGGAGGGAGTGGAGGTGGCTCCCGGACGCTGGGTGTCTTCTGGTCACAGGTGGAAGCCTGCTGGTAATGAGACGCCTTCCTCACGCACCCAGCTGACCCCCCAGCACAAGGGCTCAGGGCCTGAGAGCCCTCGGGCAGGGAGCAAAGGGTGAGGGCATCTCGCAGCCGCCCTTTCGGCTCTCCCCATGCCTCTCCTCCCTGTGGCTGGTCCTCTCCCTCTCCCTGCACACCTTTTTCTATGGACTTCCTCGTGTGTCTCTTGTCACACTCTCTTCCTTCTAATACTCGCTCTCCCCTTCTCCCTATGTCTGTCACATGCTCTTCTGCTCTTCCCCTGCCCTTCTTGCCTCCCCTACATCTAGCTTGGTCACAGCCCAGTGACTCCTGAGCTGCTGGCCCCGTTGTCACGCTCCTCTACCTCCTGCCATCAGTACCCTCTGTCCCAGGGAATGCCCCTGTCACTGGGCAAGGTGGGGTTGCCCACACTGAGGAGGAGGTGCAGTCCCTCTCCTGGCCTGAGGTGGCGCTCAGTTGGTGGAGCTGTTACCGTTTTTTTTTCTTCTGCACACACGTTTCTCCATCACCCCATCTCAGACCCACCTCTGCCCTTTCCTTCTTCCCCTCCCTCTCCCAGTTGTTTTTCAGCAGCTCTTGATTCCACTTCTGATGGATTCCTGTTCCCTCTACTGTCTTCCCCTTGACGCACCAGAGCCCAGGTGTTGCCCCAGTTACCTTTACCTCTCTGTCCCTCTCTGGGTCCTCCTTCGGCACCGTAGCGCCAGTGCTCTCAGGGCTCGACATGCCCACTCTTCCAAGCATGGGTATCTCTATGTGTTAGCCCTGGTAAGCCTCACAGAAGTCAGAGGCAGCGAGGGCAGAAATTCAGGAACACAGCAGTGCTGATTGGCATGTGCTCCCCTATGAGTTCATGTGTTAGAAACTCAATCTGCAGATGCACGTCTGAATCTTTTGTGGAAATAGAGCCTTTGGGAGACACTTAGGGTCAGATGGAATTGTGTCTCTGTGATGACACTCACAGCTCTACAAGGAAGAGAAGCCAGGGCTAGCACGTTGCTCTGGCTCACCCGGCTTGCAGCACAGAGGTCCTCACCGGATGCCAGCACCACGACCTGGGACTTCCAGCCTCCAGACCATGTGCCAAATAAGCCTTACTTGGTGTGAGCTACCCAGGCTGTGGGCTTCGGTTACAGCAGCACAACACAGACTAAGACACGTTCTGAAACAGCTTTCCTGAGACCGCACCACATGTACGCTGTGGAATGAGAAACACTTCAGAAAGTGGGCCTGCTTGCTTTCTCCTCAGCAAGGCGCTATCTTCCTCCCTGATGGTGGCTGTTCAGGACATTCCCTTGCCACACACCACCCAACGCTGTGGCCTGTCACATCTGCCCCAGGCTTCAGCTCCACACACCCAGGCCCACTCCACGCAGCCAGCCCACAGCTCCAACAGAGGGCACCGGTTTCCTCCAAGCAGCCTCATCTGTACAAAGTTTTACTGTGTCCCTGCTCTGTCATATTTATGTCTACATATTCATGCTCCTGGTAGACTAAGTTCTCTAAGATCAAAACCATGTGTGCTTCTTCAGTCTCCCTACCACAGATTGGTTAAAGGCCTAGTGAAGGCGGACACCTTTAAAGATCTGCTAAGTGCAGCTTAGTAGACTGTGGACAAGGACAAGAGATTCACTTATCTATCAACAACTTACTGAGCACAGGTAGTGAGGATAATTCTGATGGGCAGAACAGTCCAGATTCCTTTTCTGGAGACTCTTTGAAGTCTAGGGGGACATGGCTAATTAATGGAGCGATACACAGATAAAATAGCTGCATCACGAGGGTTACAAAAGGGAGGAAGGGATGCCAGGAAGTGTATGATGCTGTCAGTGAACACTTCTCAAAGGAAAGGACAGCAGGGTTGGGATCTGAAGGAAGGGTTGAGGTGCAGCACACCGAAGGAGCGAAGAGGCTTCTGGTGGCAGAGCCCCATGCTGAGCACAGCCATGGGCTGGAACCCAGAAGTGCAGCATGAGAGGGACAAGGTGAAGACAGAGGAGCCAGTCAGCACAGGTCTGTGGGGCATAGCAAGCTAAGGGTTTGTCTTAAGGACACAAAGAAACCATCCACACTACCCCACTAAGAAGATGGGACAGAGACGAGGAAGGAGGGCTAAGGGCTCATGGCTGATGGAGTCTTTTATTTTTAAAAAAAAGCTCATGCTGATAAAATGTTCTTTCCCTCAACTGTAGGAAAATTAGCCACATATCTACCATCGAGGGCATTTTGCCAGACTTGCTGTCAAGGAACTGTTGATAGTAAACAGAACAGGAACTTGGGAGAAGCTGAGAAGTTAATGCGCTGGGTGAGAGATACCACTGCTCCTCTGCAAAGGGAGGGACAGGGCAGCCCCAGGTAGAGAACTGGCTTAGGCCAGTTTTTCAGGGCAAAAGTACCCTCCTCTGACTAATCCATATCCAGAGGTCAAAGGTTAACAGGAAGTTAGCCCCACAAATGTCCCAGGTGCAGACAGACACTGTATGCCCCAGTTATCATCTGCCCCTGGCCTCCCAGCGCATGGCCCCTTCCAATCCTCTTTGTCTTAAAGACCAGTGAGAAGCCCATTGAGCACTCTCCCTTTCCTCTCCCTCCTGTCCTGACAGGATTCTGTCCTCCTGGGATGAAAGGAAAGGATGAAGTAAGATACTAAGTTCTGAAGAAAAAATGTCAGCCCTCTCTGTGACAGGACTAGTGAGGAAGATGTGACCAGCTTGGGAGATCTACCTGCAGCCCTGGGAAGTGGCTCTCAAACTTCAGTGCCAAAGGGAGGCAGGCAGGGGATATCCGTGGGGGAGCAGGCTGGCAGTAAGACAATAAGAGGCAGGGCCGTGGGGGACCCCAGGACATGTGCCAGTCTTCACAGGGAGCCACTGTCAGCCTCTGGAATATTGCAGGGCTAAGACCATGTGGCCACACACATTCCTGTTTTTAAAGAGCCATCCAAAATCTGGAGCACTCTGTAGAATTTGTCGATGTTTAAATGTTGGCCATAACTTCAAAAGTTGTTGTTTAAATCTTGTGCACGTCAAACAGAACACCTCTGTGGGGTTTACCTGCCTTATGGCCACCAAGCTGTGGCCTTTGGGTTCCTTTAAATCACCCTTCTCCATGGGGCCTTGGGCCAAGGACAGCCACGAGTGCAAGGGCTGCATCAGTGGAAGGGCCCCTATTGCCACCGTCTGTTGGGAGGGCTGGGATGGTCTGGCACTGGATGAGGGGGTATCTGACTCATGGCTTGCGGGTCAGAGGATAGAGAGTTTGGGAGTTCTGGGATGTCGAGTCCTGCCTCGACCTTTGGACAACCTAAAGCAAGACATGCCAAAGCAAGACAGAGAACAGGAGCTTCTTATGTGCCTAGACACAGACTTCGTAGAAGAGTGTCTCTGACTTGTCACTTGTTAGGATCCCCTGCACACAGGTTGCCAGGCCCTACCCTCATGGCCCTGGTTCAGTAGGTCAAAGTGAGGCCTGAGAATCTGAAGTGCCAAGAAAGTTTCCCATGGGGTCGGGGAGATGGCTCAGTGGAATAAGCACTTCCCTGGCAAGCATAAGGGCATGAATTCAATCCCCGGTTCCAAAAAAAAAAAGAAAGAAAGAAAGAAAGAAAGAAAGAAAGAAAGAAAGAAAGAAAGAAAGAAAGAAAGAAAGAAAAGAAAAAGAAAGTTTCCCAGGCAATGCTGAGGATGCTGGGAGCACACTCTGAGTACTATCTTTGCAGAGATACCCGTTCACTCTGCTTTCTGGGTCCTTACCTGTGGAAGGGTGAATTGCGAAGAAGCCCACATGGTTCCCACTGGTGACGTTGAAGGTCAGCTTCCCTTGAGAGCTGGAGTCAGGGTCGAAGGCCTTCAGCTGCAGCACAGAAGTACCTGGGGGTGCATCCTCGGGGATGCAGGGATAGAACACAGGCCTGGACATCCGGGGTGGGTTGTCATTGACATCTATGATCTCGATGTAGACTTCAGTGACAGATGAGAGAGGGACAGAGCCCTTGTCCATGGCCAGCACAGTCAACCAATAGAAGGATACGAATTCTCGGTCCAGAGGTGCCCGGGTCTGAATCATTCCTGGGACAACGAATCACCAAACCCAAATTACTTTAGAGCCAGAGTGGCTTTAGAAAACATCCAGCCAGCCTTTCCCCGTCTGTACCACAGGCAGTTATGGATAGGAATTCCACAAGAAGCGAATAGCTGTCAGTGTGATGTGGGGGATGCTGAGCTGAACACAGGAGAATGAATGGCTGCACTGCCAACTATCTTGGCCTACGCAGGGCTTCCAGAAGACAGGAGAGAGCCTGCTTTCCTCTGACTACTTCACCACACTTCAGTGACTTCTGAGCGTTCTATAAGTGGAATTCCTTCTCGTCACCCTTCAGCCCTTTTCCTCATTAGCTAAGTCCTGCTAGAGCATCAGCTTAAGAGTCAGAGATGTGGCTGGCACATTTTTTCCATCACTTTCATGATTTTAGGGCCTTCGCTTCATTCTTAGCTTGCTCATTGCACAGTTGCCTAGTAGGGGCCAGCTCAGAGCTGGAGCTTGGGGGCCCATAGGAGGCAGAGGCAGCTTGCACCCTAAGCTCTCATGGCCCCCCACCTGGTGGAGCCTGAGTCGGGGGGAAGAGTGGGTCAGAGAAGACACAGGGAAACTGAGGCCCTGAGAGGGAACCTGGCTTAGCTAAGATTATATAATATAGCAAGTAAGTGAAAGAACTGGGGCTGGCATTGACCCAGTCTAATGCCTTTTCCACCACACCCCCCAGCCCTGTCCTCCTATTCCCCAAGCTGTCAGCTCTTTCAAGTAGCCACCTACTTCTGTGCCTCTTGGGCCTCCCCAGGGCTCTGTCTCAGCAGTGAGTGTTCAGTATGCATTTGCCGAATTGTTCCTTTTTTCTACAAAGCCCAAAAGTAGAATAAGGAAGTAGTTGTCACGATTTTCAAGGGCAATGTGGGAATCACTGTCATCATAAAAACCTGCGTTATCAGGCTGGGGACGTAGCTCGGGGCAGGTACCTGCTAAGCTCCTGGCTGCTTTGATCCCCCATACTGCACACACACAAAAGTAGACATTATTCTTCAACCCTGCGACTTCATTGTAAAAATTTTCCTACAAAGCTGTGTGTGGTGGCACATGCCTGCAACGCCCAGCACTTGAGGCTGAAGCAGGCGGCATCAAGAGTTCAAGGCCAGCCTGGACTACATAAGCAAGCTGAAGGCCAGCCTCACTGTATAGTGAGAGCCAGTCTCAGGAAAAAGAAAAAAAAAGCTTTCCTACAGACTCATTCCTATTAATAAAGTACATAAATGAGGATATACACTATAGAACTATACCACAGAATATAAGGATAACTAAAAGGACAAAACCACACAATATGATGTCCTAATCTTACATTACCCGAAAAAGTATGTTTCAGAAGTAGTGTCAGTTATGTTCTCATAATGATAAAATAAATAGTGAAAATATATTAGATGCAAAGAAAAGAAATTTAGAAGACTAGAGATGTAATTGTTAATAAAGATTATATCTAGAGATAGGCAGAACACAGAAGGACATCTATCCTTTATATGTGGTTATATAAGAATGTATAGGGCCGGGGAGATGGCTCAGTGGAATAAGCGCTTCCCTGGCAAGCACAAGGGCCTGAGTTCAATCCCCGGTTCCACAAAAAAAAAAAAAAGGATGTATAACCACCATGTGCTACTTTCATAAACAGAACATGTATGTGTCTACATGTGTGTGGACTTCCAGCAAAGATGAATTTAAAATAAAGGCACAGGAAAGAGAATCCATGTTTACCGCCTTCCTTTTCTGCCTGCAGCCTGGTTTCTTCCAGAATGGCCTCTGATTTCCCTTCATCTCCTTTCCCCCCAGGCCCTGCCATTCCCACCCGACCTCAGCCCCAGCACCTGTGTCTGGGTCTATACTGAAGGCTGCAAGGCCAGTGCCGGCCCGGAGGAAGTACTGGAGCTCCCCATCCGAGCCACTGTCATCATCATGGGCTGTCACTTGCATCACCTGAGTTCCCAGGGGGCTGTTCTCCTGCACCTGGGCCTGATACACAAAGGAGGCAAAGCGAGGAGGGTGGAGGTTCTCATTCACATCCAAGACGATCACCTCCACGTGGCAGAGGGTCCTGCGGGCCAGTGGCCTCCCACTATCACTGACCCACAGGCTGAGGTTGTACCCAGCCCGCCTCTCAAAGTCCAACTCTTTCTCCAGACTCAGCGCCCCGGTCACCAGGTCCAACCGGAAGGTCCCGTGGATGTCATCCAACAAGACATATTGCACTTCTCCTGCAGGGCCCAGGTCAGGATCAGAGGCATCCAGAAACTTCAAGATCGTCCCTGGGGGCAGGTCCTCTGGCACCTTCAAGCTGTTGAGCTCTGTGATGCACCGGGGAGAGTTATCATTGGTATCTTCTAGTGTGATGATCAAATCTGTGACAGAGAAGAGCTGGTGGCCCTTCTTGGGCTGGTCCCTGGCCTCTACCTTGAGTACATACTGAGGTTCTGCTTCACGGTCCAGATGGCCTGTGACAACAAGTTCCCCAGTGAGAGGGTGAAGAGAGAACTTCTCCGTGGGGCTTAGCAAGGCATAGCGAACCCTGCCATTGTCTTCTGAATCTTCATCTTCTGTTTTTAACTCTGCAATGGTGGTTCCCACCTCTGTGTCCTCGGAGACAGTTAGCTGGTAGCCACCAGGAGGGAATCTGGGGGCGTGGTCATTCCAGTCTTTCACATTCACTGCTAGCAGCTTCCAGGAGGACCTCTGGGGAGTCCCGAGGTCATACACTGTTATATTGAGGAGGTAGAAACTGGTGGTTTCATAATCCAGGGGAGCAGCCACAGCAAGCAGTCCTGTCTCCAGCTCAATGTCAAAGCAGCCCTCCTCATTGCCGTCAGCAATCACATAGACCAGTTTGCCATTAAAGCCAGTGTCAGGGTCCGTGGCTGCCAGGCGGGCCAGCGAGGTGTTGATGGGGACACTCTCGAGGACGTCAATGGACTGGGGGAAGTGGTCTGCAAAGCGGGGGGCATGGTGGTTGATCTGGTATGTGGTAAGAGCAGAGAATTCCTCATCGCTGGGCTCCTGGTCCTGCAGCCCAACTGAGTGGAGGACCGTCTTGGTGAAATGTGTCAACACCCCTGTTTTAGTGCATGTGACAGGAACCTCAAAACGAGTGTCTTTCACCACAGTGACATTCAGTGTTGTGGGCAAGGCATAGTTTTGGCCATCCCAGGCAGTGATTTTCAGAGAATAGCTGGTGGATTGACCAGCACCAAGATTCGTGAAAGGACGTTTGAGGGCTATCACTCCTGAGAAATGATTTAGATCAAAATACCCCAGCTCGTTGCCTGACAGGATCTCATATTTTAGATTCTGAAGCTCATCCACATCTATGGCTGAGAAGGTCATCACTGACTTTCCTACTGGCCAGTCTTGGCGAATAGACACACTGCAATTGACTTCTTCAAACATTGGCCGGTTGTCATTCAAATTCTTGAGCCTAAGAGAAACAGATACTTCCTTCTCCTGGCGAAAAGGCACTCCCCCATCGGACGCCCGTACTCGAAAGATATAAATTCTTTTCATGAGCTCATAGTCCATGGGTTTGGAGGTAGATATGACCCCCAAGAAAGGGTCAATAGAAAATGGCACAGCTCTGGGGCCAGCAATGGAGTAGGTGACAAAGCCATTCTCCCCATCATCCCAGTCTGTGGCAGTGACAGTTAAAACACTGGTGCCCGGAGGAACGTTCTCATCCAAGGTGCCATCGTAGGAGGACCTGTTAAAGACAGGGGCATGGTTGTTACAGTCCACAAGGTTGATGATTACCAAGGCAGACGCCAGGCCTGGTGAGGTTCTAATGTGAAGCTGATAGTGGGCCCGGTCCCGGAAGTCCATGAGCTTTGTGGTGGTGACCAGTCCGGTGCGAGCATGAAGCTTAAACCCCGTGCTCTCTGAGGATGGCTTTAGAACATACTGCAGGTTGGGCACAGCTGGTGTGACTTTGACCAGCACCACACGACTCCCAGGAGGGGAAAACTCACTCAGCTGCACTCTGTAAATGGGCTTCTCAAACTTAAGAGAAGCCAGTTTGGAAGGTGGCAGGTGAAAGCCCCTGATCTGGGAACGGAGTGAAGGTTTGTTCCCACTCCTGGCCTGGAGGCTGAGGTTGAACCCGTGGAGATGTTCCAGCCAGTTGATGTCTTTGACAGACACCAACCTGAACTCATTGGTCTGGGCATAGGACTTGATGGCTTTGAAGTGCTTTCCGGGGTCACCACCAACAACCTCCAGCAAGTCTACTTCAGCCCCTGAGCTGCTGGCATCCACCACCACCGTGGCATATGTGGTGCCCCTATTGCTGTCAGGCGGGGTCACCACCACCGAGGTGATGACAGGGGGCTTCTTGGGGGCAGGCTCCACGTGGACGGTGAGAGCAGCCAAGTTACCAAAGCCGTTGCCCTCGGAGATTTTCCGCATGCGGTCCACAGCCAGCACCTGGAGCTCATACTTCCCTCGCCAGGTGACATTGAGCTTCCCAGTCACCGTCACCACGCCACTGGTAGGGTGGATGGCAAAGATCTCGGATCTTGTGTTAAAGGCATAGTAGAACTCAGCATTCTGGCCCAGGTCAGCGTCAGTGGCTGTCAGTTTACAGATGGGGCTCTTCAGAGGCACGTCCTCAGATATGGTGACTCTGTACGAAGGTGGGGAGAAGAGAGGCTTCAGGTCGTTCTGGTCCAGGATGCGGACCACGACACGGGTCAGGGCTTCCAACTCTGAGGCTTTCTCTGTGGCCTGGATGATGAGGGTGTAGCTGTCTTGAACTTCCCTGTTGAGCAGCGCTGTGTTGCTGCTTTTCGTCCTTATTCTTAGAAAGCAGAAGTTCCCTACCACATATTCCTCTGTCTTAAAGACGTTGACCACATCCCCGGAGATGATCCGGTAGCGCACTGCCCACCGGGGCTCTGGCAGGTACATGCCCATTTTCTCCGTGCTCTCCACGTAGGTCTTGGGGGCAGAGTTCTCATAGATGGTGGCATTGTAAAGGGAGTGCGTAAAGCGCCAAGCAGAGGAGGAGGAGTCGGTTCCTTCTAGCGGCTTCTCACAGGTCACGTGACAGAGCAACCACATGGCCAAACTCAGCAAAACAATGGTCATGGTGAAAAGGACTCCTGGCAAAACAGAGAGGGTGCAATTAGGGAAGAAATGGTTCCTAGTGCCATTTAGTTCTTACCTGGAGGGCTTTTTTGCCATCTGAGGACATTTGGCAATGTCTGAAGACATTTCTGGCTGCTCTGCTTGGGCGGTTGGTGGGTGTCTGGTAGGCAGAGCTGGGGGTGCTGCTAAGCTGCAATGCACAGGACGTAAGTGCCTGTCCCCAAAAGTCAGTAGTGTCAACTGGGCTCTTTACACTGCTCTTTGACCCATCCTTCATAGGCAGGGCCTAATTCGGGTTCGTCCTGAATCTTGCAACACCCTCTCTGGAGCACCCAGCTCAGGTAGCACAGTGCTGGTGCTTACTCCTGTCTCTAAAAGCTCTCTCTAGGTACCCTGGGGTGGTAAAACTGTCCCGATTCTTAGCCTGGAACCCAAGCTTAGCAGTATTTTCATTGTCCGTCCTACAAGGCCCCTCCATGAGGGACAAGCTACTGCCAGTTTGAGTGACATCTATGCAGGTGGGGAAAGGAAAGTTGCTGGGACCCCAGGGTAGGCCTCGGGTCGCCTGGCTTTCTGCCCAGCCTCCACTTCTGGTAAGAGGTGCCGCTCCCGGCAACCTTTAGGAGTTCAGATTTTCTCACCTGTATAATAGAGATAAGAACATCATTCATCTCACTGAGTTGTTCTAAAAATTAAAAGAACAGGGCATGGTCACACATCTGTAATCCTAGCAGAGGGAAGTTGAGGCAGGAGGGTCACCATGTGTTCGAGGCCAGCGTGGACTAAATAGCAAAACCCTGCCTCAAAAACCACAACATAAATAAATAAATCAAAGGAAATAATAAAGGTACAGGTGCTAGCAAGGTGCCTGGTATACAGCAGGTTCTAATATTAACCATCATTAAAGTAAAAGGCTAAGGCCCATGAGAGGAAGGAAGCCGCTCCCCCTGGGTTGCAGACTGAGGCTGCTGCCCTGCTGCAGGCTCATGCACAGTAGCACTACGCATCCCTTCTTGTCCCTTACTGGCAACCAGAGCATAGATGGCTCTGGAATCCTGGACTTCAGCTGCCTGCCCAGGGAGAGATGGGGCCTCACCCAGCCCACACAGTAGGCCAGCTAACACCAGTCCTGGGAAACCAGTTCCTGCTGGATGAATCACAAGCAAAGACTTTGCCACTCTGATACCTCCTGGCCTCCTCACCCTGTCCCTTGCCCATCCCCCCCACAGCCCCTCCTTGAGTTCAGACTCCTGGGGCCAAGGACTTGTGGAGAGCGGAGGCTCCCGCCTGGAGCTGGTCCCCCAGGGGCCTGTACCTAGGAGCTTCTGGGGAGCTCTCCTGGATGGAACGGGTCAGACTTGTTCTTCCAGTTACCTTGCTCTTCAAAGGCAAGGAAAAGGTTAAGCTTCCAGGGCAAGGAGCAAATGAAGGCTTGGCGCCAAGGCTTCCCAGAGCCCGGAGCTGCAGGCGCAGGCTCCACAGGCCCCACTGGTTGCCTCCCGGCAGGAGGCGGGAATGGAGAAGTCTACCTAACTGTAGCCCTAAACCAGCCCCAGCCTTCCAACTCTCCCACCACCCAGGGTCCTCAGAAAAGGGACAGGCTGCAGGCAGATGTCCACATTTGGGACCCCAAAACCCCAGCATCCTAAACAGCTGGTGTGTATCCTCCATCCTGCCTGTCCCCTGCTGTCAGCCCTGCAGTACCACTGCAGGCACCGGGGAGCCAGCCCAGGCAAATGCCACACTCACCCTACCCGGCACAGCCTGCCCCAGCCCAGGAGGGTCCCTGAGCCATCTGCTCTGGAAGCCGAGCCCCAGGGGGAAAGGAGTCCTTACCCCAGCCCCTCGTGTGTGCTCCACAGCGCAAGCGGCCGGGGTGCATGCTGCCTGCCCCGCCTGCCTGCCTGCTTGCAGCGCACAAAGCTTCCTGCTCCCCAGGTCAGGGCCGGCGCTGGGCAGGTCCTGACAAGACGCACCACTGGGCTGCAGGCGCCAGGCGCAGGAGCGGAGCCAGGCCCATTAAGATGAGCTGCAGGAAGGGCAGAGGAACCAGGGTCTTGTGGGAGGGGAGAAGATGCCCAGCGTGTGCCCCTGTGGGGTGGGGGTGGGGTCAGTGTGTGTAGGGTGTCCACTGCCCCGCTGCCCCGACGTGCTTTGCTGAGGGGAACACTTGTCTCGGGCACCTAGTCTGGGAGAACAGAGCACAGAGGCGATGTGTTGGGCTACAGCACCCAGGGCCACTATGTGAAAATACAAATAAATTCATATCCCTCACTTGCTCAAAACTTTCTGGTGGCTTCCTATAACTTTTAGATTAAATCTGAACTCTTATCATAGCCTGGGAGGCCTGCAGCCATCTGTGCCCGAGGTAGTCTTCTGCAGTACCTCCCTGCGGCTCTCCATGGTTCAGCAGAGTGCTGGGCTGACTCCTGCGCTCAACAGGGAGCTGCCTCAGGACTTTTGCATGTGATCAATACCTACTGTCATGCCCTAGCAAGGGCTCTGTTTAAAACAAAAAAAAAAAACAAAAACGTAAACCCACAAATGGTCTAGGGGTATAGCTCAGGTTGAAAGGCTGGGACCCAATCCTCAGACTGGGAATGACATAACGTGTTGGAAAATTTTCATTATCCACAGACTCAACAGTCCCAGTCCAAGCCAGCTGCTGAAAAGTAACAGTCAGGTGAGTTCTCAGCTCTGGCATTACTTCCTGACCCCAGCTGAAGCAGCCTCCCCGCCCCATCCACGAGTGCAAGTGTGCTTGCCACAGAGCCCAGACGAGGCAGCAGCGCTCCACACAGATTAGTCCTTTCTAGATTTTAATGCCAAGGCCGAACCAAAGCCCTGGTCAGGGCAAGGGTGGGGTCCGTGGAACTCTCTGGAGAAGGCCCAGCCTGTGCTCCGCAGAGCAGGAAGCCGCCGGTGTCTGGTCTAGTCCAAGCTTGCTGGCTCTGCTACGGGCTGCTCGGGCAGGCGCTTGTCTGGGGCGGGGCATTGGGCTTCCTGGCTCCCAGACCAGGGTGAGATCTACCTGGGGGTGAATGTGCAGGTTTGTAAGGGAGCATACATCTGTCCTTGAGTGTGCAGAGTCTTTGAGAAATCGTTGGTGTGTTCATGTGTTAGTTGTGTATGTGTGCTCACAAATCAACCCTTTTAGGATTCACACATAAATTGAACTCCTTCTCTGTAATTCCCAAGCCTGTTTTGCAGGTAGGTGGAAGGTGGGGAGGACATACTGGTCACTGTGTGGCCTTGGACAAACAGCTTCCTTTCTCTGACCTTCAGCTTCCTGCTTTCAGAGCGTCATTTAGAGTGCCAAGTCAGTCCACGTAAGTGCTAAGCACAGCGGCCTTGCTTTTCAGCAGCTGGCTCGGATGTGGACTTGGGGGTGTGGGTAGCGAGAACCGCAGACACATCGTGCCATTCCAGGATGGTGCCCAAAGCCTGCACACTGAGCTGCATCACCAGCTCATTTAGGTTTGTGTTTATTTGTTTGCTTGTTACTCGGAGACAGGATTTTGCCAAGTCACTGAGTTGCTCAGGATGGGCTCCAACTTGCAAACCTCCTGCTTCAGCCCCCCTAAAGGGCTAGGATTATAGGTGTACGTGCATGTGTGTGCACGGGCACCACCATGCCCAGCTCCTGACTGTTCTTGTGCACCTGATTTTCTGCAACTTGGTGCCTCCCAGCTCCAAGGAGGCTGTGGCTCTGCTCACCCTGTGACTTGGCGCTCCCTGCCACCTTCTCCAGATCCTCACTCTGACATCTGGAAACTCAGTGGTTAAAACATCTGCGTTTCTCTCCAGGTCACTAACATGTGTCTGTGCACAGGGTGTGGCGCGGTGCTGGGAGATCTTCCCTCATTACCTGCGTCAGCTGTCTCAGGAGCCACCTGGAGTGCGTGTGGCAGATGCAGCAGCTCCCTGTTCCAGGGGAATCCAGAATCTGTGGGCATCGGTGTAGAATGCTCCGTACCAGAGGGATGTTTGCCCTTGCAGGGAGATGAGCAGAGCTCTAATGTCCCTTCCAGGCCACATGGCTATGACATTTTCACCTGTGCCTGCCTGAACATCTTGAGCAGACTTCAGATGAGCCCCTGCAAGGCTGGAAAAGTCCCCTGGCCACCAACCCGGGTCACACGCCGGCCACTGCTCATTCAGCACAGAGGTTGGATCCTGCCCAGCCTTCAGGAGGCCCGGATGTGGAGGTCACCCATTCTCCGGTGGCCTTGGCCTAGCAAGTCACCCACACCCTGCAGGCTTCCTTCAAACTCATCTGTAAGTGATGTGAGTGGCTGCTGGGGGGCCGAGGGCAGGACCCATCCAATGATTCCAAGCCCCTCTACTGCTTCCAGGGACAGAATCTGCTTCCTAATGGAATCGTGCCTGGAAACCATCTATGAACACACCTCAAATGAGTGTGAGAGGCTAAACTCAGGGCCCTACCCACGGGAGGTCCTTCACACCCCGCAGAGCACAGGTTTAAAATCCAGCCGAAGGATCGCTAGTGGCTTCTGGGTCCAGCAAGGTGAGGCTCCGCCATTCTGCTGTGCTGGGCCCTTGGGTGAGAACTTCTAAGACACGAGGGCCCATGTGCTGCGACTGCGACACCCTGGGCGTGGCATTTGCAGTACGCCACCGTGCGTGGGTTTCAGGCATTTTCAACTGCAGGTGTCTAGGCCTTTATCATGAATGCTATTCTTCCCAAGGGGAACTTGAAGGACTTCAAAGCCAAAATAAACTTCCATTAGAAAGCTCCTCAACTATTTCTAACAAGGCAGCCCCTCATCCTCCTTCCTCCCAGAAGTACCCAGCAGGACAGCAGCAGAGGAGCACTCCCTCGAGGCTGGACACCTTCCTTTTCTCAGGCACAGTGCAGACAGTAATTAGCACGGCACACCATATTCCTGCGAAGCACTGCTGCCCTCTCATCCCATTTCTCAGATAAGGAAAACTGAGGCTTGCATGGCATGCCCAAGTTCGCCCAGAAAGACTGTGGCTGAACTGAACAGCC